TACTGTTCAACTTTCTTCATGAAAACAACACATGCTTTCTATTGCTGAATTAGAGAATGCTCTTGAGTGCATTGCTCAAAACTATTATAATCATCTAAGAAAACCTGTTTTTTGTTCTTTTCTGGAACATTTTAATGCTTCAATGACAAACCAACATGCAACAGTGATCTGCATGATCCTGACAAAGATAAAACAGTCCCATGTTGCTGACTCATTAAGTGCGCTCTGACATGAATGCCTTCTCTGCGTCCTTCTCTGGGCACACAAGTTGCCCGGCCTGAGGTTGACACAGCTGTCACAGAGAGAGAGCTGGTCCCTGTGTGGCGGAGCAACGGAGCAGAAAACGTCAAAGGTCAGCGGCATTTAGGCTAAAAGAGGGAACAGGTGAGGGAGAGGTGAAGGCAACTCGCTCCTCAGAGAGAATCTGGACGGATGCTTTGAGGTCATTAGATCTGAGAATGAGGCACTGAAAAAAAATACTTTACTTTAAATACTCTAATGATGCAGGCCAAAGAAGCTGTGTTGAGTCGTTTGATTGGAGTCTTACAGAAACAAAGAGAAAACACATAAAAACTCTCCACATATTTGAGTGAATTGCATTTTATAAAAACCTGAAGAACAAATAAAAAACAGTTTAAACTACGGTGAAACATCGGAAAATCGAAGACCAAAACAAAAGGTGGTCACACTCGATTACATCAAAGTTTAAATCATTCAGATTTCTTGAGATATGGCACCCTCATTAGCCTCTGATCTGTCACAAAAGGTGCGATGACAGGAAACAAATCCCTACATTTTCTCACCAAGCAAACAATTAGGACATAAAAGAGTTCTGGGTGTCACACTTTGGCCTGTGTCTCCATTAAATGGCCCTGATCTGGTGTGTGTGTGTGTGTGTGTGTGTGTGTGTGTGTGTGTGTGTGTGTGTGTGTGTGTGTGTGTGTGTGTGTGTGTGACAGCGAGGCGGCCTCTGAGTGACCAGGTGACACAATGTGGAGGATCAGTGTGCATCAAACTACACAACTCGCACCAAAGCATTTATTAATTTTACACAAGGAAAACTTTCCGTTTTTATTTAGATTTTACCAAAATATAAAGATCTGCCTGTTTGAAATCTAAATAGTTTTTGTTTTTTTACCATGAAAACACAATGAAGACCTACATTTAGAGGATGTTTCAAAAGTCAAATTTACTATAAAGCTCTGTAACGCATCAACATTTCATCTTTTGAGACCCACAAACAAGGACAACAGAATACATCTTTAGTTTAAATATCGTTTTTCTGGATCGGGACTGAGCGTACAAATGCATCTCGATCATACTAGAAACTACTCTGTCGTCAATTATATGTGTCAATTTGTTTTCTCCATAGTTAGAGTGTTAAGGTTATACACACCAGCAGAAAGGACATATCAAACTGAATCTGTTTACCAATATACCTGTGCATTAAAAGTGTCACCCATGGATGCACCAATACAAAGGTGTATAAAGAGCAGCAAAAAGAACATTCAGGGATGTGATGCAGCAGATGAACAGTGTGTGCTGATGACTGTGTAGTAACATCTAAATGTCTCACTATAAGGTAATATATAATCACATATGATGAGGTTTAACTTTTCTGAGCCTTTATGACACTTATTCTAGGAGACATTGTGACAAAAAATACAAGTCTTATAAAATGTCAATATGTATTTCTGTGACAGTTGTATGCAATGTAACTTGAACTTTTCTGAACGTCTCACAAATATGTCAGCCATCACAGGAAAAATACTCTCCTTCATAATGCTGTACGCGGAACATACTTTGACATGATCCTGTCTTTACTGTGGCTCCTGCTGCATGGCTGAATGTGGAGGAGCCTGTGGACGCTCAGGGGCCTGTGGGGGTCGTCAGTCAGCTGCCGGGCTCCCACCAAAAGGGAACGACAACTGCAGGAGAGTGAGCAGCAGCAGCAGCAGAAACAGCAGCAGAAGTGGCAGCAGATAAAACAGAGATGTGGGGGTTTATGGAGGCACAGAGAGGGGGAGGGGGTGGGGATCAGCTGAATCAGACACCCAGCTGAGGATGTTTAACACAAGAGTCAGCAGAGATCAAGACTGGTGACTGTTCTGTTCAACTTATCTGACGTTCATCCTGAAAGCTGTTATAACAATGCATGGTTTTAATGTTTTTCATCCCACAAATATCCGGACTTTAGTTTGTGGGGGTCCTTATAAGTCTAGCAGAGACCCTGATTAAAAAGAGGGAAGGGAAGATTTCTGAAAAGGTTTCATCTCAGTTGAATTTTGGCTGCATATGAGTCCTGAACAAAGAACACTTGAGCTTTTTAGAGAGTTAGTTAGTTGCACTTTTTGCTGTGAAGTTAAGAAAGAAATTTGACCGTGTCTCTACGACGACAACATGTCATAGCTGTACAACCGAGAGTTTTACTTCTGTTTAGCGGGCAGTTAAACTTTTTTTCTCTTCACACTTTTACAGACACAATGACATACATAAAATAGAGTACTAGTTAAATAATGGCAAAAATAATGGCACCAAGTAGGAGCAAGGTGCCACAGAAAATGATTTAAATGAGGGTTAAGAGATGCCATTCCTGGTGATCAATTCGTCACCGCAATGTATAAGTTAACATGATGAGTCACAACCCTTAGTTATTAAGCTGACACTTGATTGAATTAGCTTTGGTTTCTTGAGGTTTATTTGACATATTAACGTGTTGTTCATGCCATTATTGACATTAGTCTCTTATACATTCTCAGTCGTCTCTCTGGGCTCAGAGCAAAACAATGAGGCTTCTGTTTGAAACAGCCAGTGAGTAACTGCGGTCATAATCTTAATCACCAGCAACATGTGTTACACTCTGTTACTATAAAGCTTTACAAATCATCGTCTTCATGCGTGTATTGAGTCCCCTTTGCTCTCCTGTTCATCCACTTAAATAGAACACTGTAAAATAGCTCACAATGGAATGTAACTAAGTTCACTCACAAAAGTACTTGAGGTACAATTTAAGACACTTTTCCTCTGCATTAGTCTATTTCATGCTACTCATGATACTACCTCTTAGCTACCATTTTGAAATGTACTTTTTAACCATTTATCTGCCAGGTTTGAAGTCATTAGTTTTCATTCATATTATAAATCATTTACATGAAACGCTTTGAAAGTACAACAGATTGTAGATTTCATCAGTTCTCGTCATGTTTCTGGTGTGTCTGAGTTGTAAGAAGTTCCAACAGAGAGACTTTAACCCTACAAACTTCTTATGTTTTATTCTTTGAAACTTTTTAAATGATGTAATTAACACTTGTGACGTAGTGGTTATTTGCGCGCCCCATGTACAGAGGCTGTAGTCCTCGAAGGGTTGGCTCGAATCCGACCTGTGGCGCCTTTGCCGCATGTCATTCTCTCTCGCCCCAATGTCCAACTCTATCCACTGTCCTGTCTCTCCAATAAAGGCACAAAAAGGCCAAAAACAAATCAAAACCAAAAGAAAGAAGAAGATCTAGTTATTCCCCATAAAAAGCAGAGATCAGAGTAAGGTCCAGTAGTGTTAATCAGATTTTTGAGGCAGGAATTACATTTCTCCCATTAGACATCTGACGACCTCTCAGCTTCATCTCGTGACCCTTTGGATTGACCTGAGCCTCAGGTTGCAAACCTTGAACTGGCCAGCTGCTACAGTAAATTGCTGCAGATCGATATCAATATGTCATGTTTTATAATGTGCAAGTCGCAATGGCCCATTTTAACAACACACATTCGTTTTCTTTGAATGTTTTCAGTACATTAAACAGACCATTTCTCATTATGGTTATATTATTTTTACAATTTAAATCATCTAAGTTCTTCTCTGACAAAATTCTACATGATAAATAATAATACAAAACGTATGACATTGTTTGTTTTTACTGTATAGGTACATAGATTTGTGTGCTGTATCTTGGGAAATGACTCCATTGAACCCCTCACCCAGCCAACACCTCCTCTCGTCCTCTCCATCCCCTTCATGGGTGGTAACAGCTGTGGTATCACCCCGAGTCACATGACATGGGCAGGTGGGAGAAACCTATGTGGGACATCCACCCCCCACTTTCTTCCCTCCTATTCTCTCTCTGAATGTCAAACCTTGCGCACATGGACATATACACACAACCTCGTCTTTTCAAGGGTGTGGCCATTTTGCGTTGCTGGAATGTGCTCCGTGTTTGTAACTCATACTGTATGTCTGATCTCTCACATTGATGACATTCCACAGACAGAAATCTCCCTCGATGCAGTCACTGCTTGTAGCCGTGTGAGCTACCAGAGAGCATCATTAGTGGTCTACTCATAGCCTAAACATTTCCCTTTCTATAAAGATAATCTGTCACTGATTTGTCAGGACATTTAAACAGGCCAGCCTGTTGGCTTTTGGAAAGTGAAACTCAGAAGCTGTCATGATTATGAGACATTGTGATTATTAGGTTTCGTTGATTTTTTTTTTATATTCAAACAGGATTTTAGGATTTTCTTTTGCACGATGCATAGCTCATGAAGAAAGTCACATTTTAAATCAAAGTGTGAAGTCACATGACAAGATAAATGTTTTAAATGAGTAAAAGGCATGGGTTGCACAAACATTAAAAGATCCGAGGAATGTTTTTGGCTGATTTTTTTTTTTTTTTTTTGATCAATCTGACTAGCGGAGTCCCTAGAATATCTGATACAATCATTTATTACAAATATTGGCTATATGAGAAAAAAAAAAACACAAGGTTCTTAGAATCACAGCTGCACTAGTTAAAATGTATCCTGTGTCACTTTGTCAAATCTCTTGACTATAGTGAGCATGAGTAGAGTTGAACAAAAAAAATCTATATATTTACATGTATAAAATTGAGCGGTGAAATTTGATTTGTTAATGTTTTTTTTATATATATATATTTTTATTTTAATTGTTGCCTCCCGCAGTAAGGAACAAATGAGCCGGTTTAGTTTCCGGGGACAATATTAAGCAACGGACTGACCCGTGAGGGGAGAAGTCATTCAGCAAATATCGCTCATTAAATTTAAAGTAGGCTAAAATGTGGCATGCAGTTATATAAACCGAATGAAATAATGCGGTTTTTTTCGACACGTGTGGGAGGCTTAATGTAGTGACGAGGATATTTATATTAAATATATTATTTATATATTTAAATGTTCAGTATGGCGGCGCTCTTCTCTTTAAAGTGACCATTATTTTGGAAAACAATCACAGCAGAGGTTAGTATCTGTGAAAGAGTGAATGTGGAAGGAAAGCATTGTTAAACAGTAAACAGTATAGTTTAATTAAAGACCCCCATCAGTAGGAAAATCGTAACAAAAAGTGTTGTTTACATCTGCTTGTATAGCTTTAATATGTATAACTAGTTACAACTGTGTGTCACCTGTGAGTTAGACACATGTATGTAGCTGACTAAAGTGAGAGCAGTAACTTATGTGAACTTGTCATTTGTCTCCTGTAGATAATGTTGCTCACAGCTCGCAGCCTGTCCAAAGTGCTCCAGCTCACCCTGGCGGTCATCAAACCGGATGCTGTAGCTCATCCTCTGATGTTGGAGGTGAGCTCACGACACCCCATCGTCTGGTAGCGATGCAGTCATCTTCTAGGCTATAAACAAAACATTGTGTCACATATTCTATTTGTTGTTGCTTTTGTTACTGACCTAGCTACATGTATTTATTTTGAAAGTTTAGGCATGGGATTAATTGATCAAGACTGGAAAAAAAAGAATCCAGACATTACAGAAAGTTTGCTCTCACTGTTATTTGCTTCTTTTGTCAGTGTATTTTAGCTATTTGTTTGAAATGAATAAATAAATGAAATGAAATAAAGGTCTAGTACTCACTGTGAATATGTTCAGACTGTATTCAGTTCTGATACGTCACTTAAGCGGTTGGATTTAGAGCTTTTATTCTGAAGGCTGGTCATCATGGGGGGAAAAGGAACATCAGTTTAGCAGGATGAACATATCATGTGGCCCTCTTATAACGTTCACTTAAAAAAAAAAAACCTATATTGACTTCCTCTAAATACAACTCAATGAAGTACAGCTCAACTAAATAAATAATCTTTTCCCTGCTAAGAATGCAACCAACATGGCCAAACGATACACAACCAGCAAAAAACATGCCCTTAATTCAGATAAATATGTTTCCAATACTGTCAAATCACTTTAACAAATATACATTTTAACTGAATTTGATCACTTTTAGTAGTTTCCAGAATTATACTATTTGATTAAACAAACTTTTAGTCATTACTACGAGCTGAATTTCTGTATTTTTGTATTGTAGTTTTTTTTTTAATGGCCTCAAAGCCACTAAGCGGATCATGAAATATTCCATCAGGCAGAGATCCTATTTCTAAGTCCCACACATTTGCACAGTTAGCATCTGTTGTCATTTTGTTACACATGAGAAGAATATAAAGTCCAGCAGGTCTGACAGTGGAGAATATAATAACACTGTAATGCTTCCGTCTTTTCCTCTAGTGCTCTAAATAAATCTAAACACAGAACCCTGTCTGTTGTACCTGCTGATCTAAACATATGTCGACCCTGTTCCATTTAAAATCAGTTTGACACAAATAGTTAACTACCGCCCCTTTTTCCCCCTCAGGCTCTTCACCAGAGAATCCTGGACAACAACTTTGTGATCGTTCGATACAAAGATCTTGTTTGGAGGAGACAGGACTCTGAGAGGTTTTACGCTGAACATTCAGGTGAGCACACGATAAACAGGTTTAAAAATGAAGTTCTGCTTTAGTGACTCTGACCAAACAAGGTTGTCATAGAGCCATTTGAGTGAGTCATTCCTCCCTGTATTATGTAACCACACTTAGAAAGGAAGAAAAGAAGGCGTCATGTCAGGAACAGTATTAAAAAAATCCACAAATTGTCTCGTCTCTAAAGTGGTGAACTTTGTTGTGTCTGTTTTGATTTTAGGGCGATTCTTCTACCAAAGACTTGTTGAATTTATGTCGAGGTAAGCCTTCGAAAAGACACCCATGAATGTGAAATGAATGAGTTGTGCTTTGCTGGATTTGTTAGTATTTGCAATGACACATAACCCACCTAGCTGACCCAGAAAATCCCACCTCCCCTGTTGTGATGCTCGATGTTCCTGCTCATTGAGTCACCAAAGAGTCAAGCAGACTGCTAAATTTAGCAGAGCACCCCTGGAGCATTAGCGCCGCATGGCCACAGAAGATAGCAAAAGGTGCTTGTGTTCCCATTGGTCGTTTTTGTCTCATTACAACAGTGAATCAGTAGTTGCCAGGGGTAACTTTTCTCTGAATGCTCTCAGTGTTTGAGAGAATCCAGTTTAAAAAATATCTGTAACAGCTACACACATGTACGCTTACGTATTATTTCACTGTTTTACGGTTATTCAAACTGTGATCTCATCTTTCCCACAGTGGTCCAATGCGTGCATACATTTTAGCCAGAGAGGACGCCATACGTCACTGGAGGGAGCTCATGGGACCGACCAAAGTGTTCAGAGCCAGATTCACCTCGCCTGCCTCCATCAGAGCTCAGTATGGACTCACAGACACACGAAACACCACTCACGGCTCAGGTAAGAAGTTTGCTCAAGGTCATGTTTTTACATGATAGAGTCCTCAGTCTTTAATGTACAGGCCAGCATTTTTACAACATGTCCTACTCCAACATGCAGCAGCACACGGGCTGTGAAATCACATAATACTTTTGCACCAGGGTTACCTTTTTGCAGACAAATATAGTGGGTAACTGTAGAGCAAAAAACCACAAACTGCTGTATATTTAAATCTTGTCTCTGGGACTCTGGATGGTCCTAGCTGTTATGTTGCTCGCCCCATCTACAGAGGCTATGGTCCTAATCTCAGCGGCCGTGGGTTTGAATCCAACCCTTTGCTGCACGTCATCCCCCACTCTCTCCTCCCAGCATTTCCAGTCTCTTTTTAGCTGATCTGTCATATAAAGGCAAAATGGCCCACAAAATCTCTTGGGCGAGTTGCATTGTTAAATATTTGGTCCCCTTCATACGTGCCTTTTATAATATCTGCCCTTTTTAATTGCCATTTAAAGCTTCAATCAATCCTTCAGTAAGAAACATTCGTCAACTGTCAACACCCATGGACTGAAAAAAAGAGGATTGACGATTCTTACACGTCTCCTTATTGAAAACACACATCAGTGTAAATTTAATAGAAATCAATCAATTAACTGATCACATAATTTAATGTAAATAACAGTAATTTCTTAATATCTATTTCTCTGCAGATTCTGCTGAGTCAGCACAAAGAGAAATCCTTTTCTTCTTCCCTGACTTCTGCACAGAGGAGTGGATGGAGAAAGAAGAGCCATCATTCAGATCGGGACAAATTCATTATGACCAACAAAAACAAATTCACACACTATCAGAGCAAAGTTGACCCGAGAACTGCTGTGTTGAGCCCCTGAAGGACCACTTAGTCACTTGCAGTCATTGTTCATACAAAGTGCAAGCTGCAACAGAAGATGCTACAATGCTAAATGCTATATATGATGCAAACTGGGGAAACCTAAAAACCCAAAAAGTGCATGTGTAACATTTTTGATTTGTTCCTCAAAGTGCCAACACGTCTATCTCATGTTTCTGTCGTTAAACTTTTTTTTATTTTTCTTGAATTGATCTCTGTAGGTTTTAGAACCTTTTGTAAAGAAATGTCAAATAAGCACTGACAATGTTTAGGTCGAGTTTATTGTCATTATAAAACACAAATGACTAGATATGAAAATGTAACACTGTTCGGTACAAAACAACACGATGAATTAAGACTATTTTTCTCACATTGTCGTCACAAAATCCCATCAGGCTTCACTGTAAATAGTGCAATCTTCACCTTCACCTTCAGTTTCCTGAGCCATACAGATTGTAGCACAGCACATGCCGCGCATCAGTGAGAAAGAACTGAAATCCTTCCTGTAGTGTTGATTAATTCTGTTGTAATAACTTCAAAAATATTTATCATAGCATACGTTAAAATTGGGCTTTAGATGCTGTACAGTTCACTGCAGGAATTTGAAATGTGCCAAATCAGCTTTTCTTCAACGCTTTCAAACATTCTGCTGTGCTTAACCCTGAAGTCTTTCATTTTGGTTTGATCCTTCAAGTTAAATGTTGTGTTTTAAATGTTCTCTGATCAACAGTTTAACATTTCTGTGTCTTCAATGTGTCAAAGTACAGTTCAACGTTGTAACAGGCACCATAGAAATACATAAGACAGATTAAAGTATAACACAGCCTCGTTCTTTCTTCCATTGTTTTTGAAGAAAATGAGCCGAGACCATCCAAACAACCATCACTGGTCTTTCATCAGCCATCCGCCCTTAAAGAGTTTTCCCACAATAAAAACTCCCATCAGGTCTCTTAATTTCACAGTTTTCTTCCTCTTGTGGCTTTTCATCAGTTTCTCCTGCTCTCAGGTGTTTTGTGTGGTCACCTGTTTGAGGGCCTCCACAGGTTTCATGACCTCATAGGTGGTGAGGGACTTCTTCACCTTCCCGTTCTTGTCAACCTGATGGATGCTCTGCGTCACAGTGATGGTTACCTGCTTGGTCGACATCCGATTGTCCTGCCATTTTGTCTGGAAATGAGGATGAATAGTCAATTAAAGAAACACAAAAGTAACTGAGTGAAGATAATCTGTTAATAAGAAGTGAAAGAAGCCTCTTTGTTTCTGAAGTTAAGTTTATTCCCATGTGCCTCAAACATTCTTTCTAATGGCCAGTAGTAGTTGGTAGCTCCACTGGTTGCCAAAAGAGGTCTGTATGGAAGTTATGATAACTAACTTTGTTGTTTTCTAGAACAACTTTAACAAGAGTGATCTCAGAGCTTAGATGTCCAAAACCTGACTGGAAGACATTAAAGCAGTTGTTCAGTGCCAATAAGTAATTTAACTGTTAAGAAACTGCTTTTTCAAATACTTTTGATTTGATATATGCCTGTAATTGTTCATTAAAGTCTTTTTCAACAGTGGTTTGATGACTGCTGTTTTCAAGGCCTGTGGGAAGACACCTGAGAGGAGAGACAATTTTATCTGTATCAGTTCTTCTGACGCCGTGACTTTGAGAAACTGTAGGTAGAATGTCAAGATAAAGCAGGAGGAGGAATGAACGTGTTGTATAATGTCCTTAAGGTTTGTGTTATTGATTGTACAATTTATAAAATTGTGTCATGGTGTTTAAATTGATTTTAAGTGGACACACTAGTTTCACTAAAAGAAGATGGCAAACTCATTAGAGGCAAGTTCAGGTGCTTTTGACACAGGAGGGTTTGTCAGCCTGTGGACAGTAGCAAACAAGGCACGTGTTTTTAATATTAGTTTCAGTGATGCTGTTAGAGAAAAACGATTGCTTTGCACTCCTCAATTGTAAATTACAAGTGTGAAGTCTCTCTTTATAGGTGTCACAATGAATTTGGAGCTTGCCATGGCATGTATCCAAGGAAACCATTTTCATTGCCAGGGACAACCTTCACCTTAGTCAGAGCAATGGATTCAAAAACATTTGCAATTGAAGCTATCTACCAACTCACTGACTGAGGCCCAGGCTAGAGCAGGAGTGGAAGAGAAAAACCTAGTTCAAGATTTCACTGTTGTTTTTAGTGATACACCGTTTTGTGATTACTTCTCTCTTGACTACTTGTCTGTGTGTGCACAGACAGTTTGTGCTCTCAAAGAAAACACCGGAGTGGTTAGACAGCCTTGCAAATGTTCTGACCCTTGGAGATAAAGAAGTACAGAGTGTTTGACTCCAACCCTCGGGCACTATGCCAACATAATCGTTCCACACTCTCTCACCTCGATTTCCTACTCCATCCATTCTCCTACCTACAACAAATGCATAAACGCCCTTACAAAGTAATCTAACAAAAGATCTATCACACCTACGAGAATATCTCCCGACTCCAATCATGATTTTGAATGAATCATTGAATATTTACAGAAATGCTTTTATATTACTTATTGACTTTAAGTACCGGTATTTCAAGAATATTGTCTTACAATCTCTTCTGTGTGCAGGACACTTCTACGTTGCACTGTGGTGCCTGCTGACGGTGATGTTGTCTCTTTAGGGGGAGAGCCCAGTATAGCAGGGGGGCTGCTGGGCTTCACGTCGTTCAGGCTGGCTTCAGACATGGATGAACACACCTTCAGGTACGCCTGAGCAGGCAGAGGGAGGCTGTCCTCAAAGAAATCTGGAACTGATAAAAAAAAAAAACGAAACAGTGTTAGCTCCTTAAAAACATCAGACTCTCAAAATGATAAGGCTTCGTTAAAATCTCTTTGCCCCATGTTCCTAGGATGGACACATGAGAGCAGCAGGTTGTGTTTTTGCTGGATTTGACTCTCTGACTGTGAGGATCATGGATCGTAGACTTACAATACATAGAACCCATATTGACCAAATGAGGTCCAAGTAGACAAAACTGCAGATTGTGCATTAGTGAGTTATTTATTTCTCTAGCCATAGCTAACAGTATGATGCCTGTACAAGCTAACATTTAAATGGCTGATAGTACTTTGTAAAATGTGTAAATCAAAGCATTATATGAAGTTATACGATCTTTTTTGTTTACCTATGGAGAAATAAAATAACAACTATTCTAACTTTTTTTATTTTATATACTTTATAAACCCCTGAGGGAGATTCTGGTTTTTACACTCTGCTTCTCACAAAACATAGGCCAGAATCACACACACGCACAAACAGAACCTGTGGACATGCGTTAGTGGAGAGATGTCAGAGTGGGGCTGTGCCACACTGCTACACAAGGAAAGCGCCAGAGTTGTTGGGGGTTCGGTGCAGCAGTGCTTGGGAAGCGCCCCGGCGCCTCTCCAGCTTCAGTATTTGGGTTCCGCACCAGGACTTGAGCTGGCGACCCTCCGGTTCCCAACCCTAGTCCACACACACTGAGCTACTGCCACCCCGCCTTAATTAAGGAAGCATGTGTTATGTTCCTGTAATAATTTATGTAGTCATACTTAAATGACCATTTAGGAGATTATCCACACTCTATCAACTAGTTTACAATTCATACGAGTCATTAATTGTTGTTTGTATGTTTCCATGTGATCTTGTCTTGGAGTACAAGTGGTTTTTAACTATTTTTGATTTTAAATATTTTTAAATTGTCCTTTTTTATTAGCCATGTACAGCACTTTGATTGAAAGCGCTTTATAAATAAGTATCATTACTGTTATGATCATTCAACCAAAAACCTGGAACTGAAATTCGTTGGACAAAGAGGAAACAGAAGCTGACTGATATATAATGGATCCATAAAGTAAGTAAATCAGGAGCTCAAATCTAAACATAACAGCCTTTCTTACAAATTCAAGGACAGGATCATTGCAATATGTGAGTTTTGATAGAGGACTACCTAAATGTGCATTAGGCATTTATTCATGACTATTGATTCACTGAGTGTTTTTCTTTTTAAATTACCATTAAAAGGTACATTACAATTATCATTATTATGATGTTATTTATAAATTGCATAGTGTAGACCTGGGAAATGTGTCATTCAAACAGCATTAGTGACAGGTCAGAGCGTGCAGAAAGCTTACAGGAGCATTACTACCACCACTGAGCTAATGTGAGTGCAGAGTGAGTTGGTGTTTTACACAAAGACATGCTGTGGTATTACTGTTTGTTTAAATCTTTGGGGTTGCCGGAAGCTGATCGATTTCTGCCGATTCCTGATCCTGTTTCATCGCTACAAAGTGGAAGCTTCAGTGAATTTTTTTCTCTCACAATCACATCCAGGCTCCTCCTCAGCTTGCGTGCTATCACAGCTCTATCTGTTGCCATGACAGACGGGTACTGTATGAGCACTGCAGCGTTTGATGTGGCTGCCTTGATGTGATTATCCCTGTAAACTGTTTCATGTCCTCCAGGCTTAAAAAAAAAAAAAAAAGGCACACAAGGTTCAAGGCAAAAGATAAATTAGCAAAGAACAGCATAATTATGGGCAGATTGGTCTGTGTCTGAGCGGTAGGTGTTGACTAACTACACACCTCAAAGAACAAAGGGTTTTAGAGCATCCTTATTTCGCACAGCATGAGTGCTCTGATTCAATTCTTCATCTTTATTTCAATTTACAGAGAGTAAAAATGAATTTGTCTTTGGATCAAACGAGCAAAATCTCTAAAAAGCAGACCTGCCAGTTTATGTGTTGTACACTTTGATTTAATAGAAGTAAAAAAAGGCGCACTCAATGCTAATCATTTGTAATAACTGACTAATAGTCTGAACTACCCAGGCCCTGTGTGAACAAAAACTAACACAACTAATATTGTATTTGTGATTAAGCAATTACTAATACTCCCAGACCGACCTAATACTCCCAGGTGCCTAGACCGATGAATTTAACCAAAACAGGCTTTTGAAGTTTGTATGATCCACAAATGGAATACATTAGGATGCAACAGATACATAACAACATTTGGTATGTATGAAAGACTATGGTATACATATGAATAAGACCCAATTCATACAACCATAAATATGCAACCCCCCCTTTTTTCAGAGTTCAGCAAAGTATCCACTCATCTTGTCTACTCATCCATAATTGTTTCTTCTTACCGGGGCTGATGGTTTTCTCAGAAGTGAAGCAGGCCTCCGAGCCCTCAGAAGGGATGCTCTGGATGGACGACAATGGGATGTCGGTGTCCGTGCTTGTCAGCCATGTGGACTCTGTCTCTTTGGTCCAGCTCTCTAGGTATCGAGGCTCCAG